CGTTAACTCAACAATACCCTGTGACTGCAGCTCAATTACTCACTATCTACACACACATTACCTTGTCACGTTGTCCCCCTCTTTTATATACCCGACTACCCTATATCTAGTAAGAACTAGAACATTCGCCAAAGTACAGGATAATTCTAGAAAGTAGAGAGCGTGAGAATCACATGATCTCGATGACGCAACAATATCAAATCTAAAGTTCGATAACTGCACTCATACTTTGGTATATTCTTAAAAGAAGTGAAGATTTTTTATGTTTTATGTGTGCTGTTTTGAATTAAGGCACACGTATATAGTAGTTAACATGAAAGTTTTCTCAAAAAGGGAAATACTATTCACTTTGTAGCTCACAGTTCTGATAACTATGCAGTGGTGTTTTGCCCATAGGCCCTGGGTGGGCATGTCTCCCTGTCCCCTAACTGCTTTCCACACATTGTTTCAATAATACCAAATCCATTTATAAACATTGGATTATATATGTTCAATATATTTATCTGTATTGGAAACCGATAAGTTAATAAAAATAACAGCACAAACTTAATGATATGAAAAGTAAAAGTTTTCCTATTACCATTTGTATGATTATTATTATTAATTCACCACTAATAACAAAAATACTTTGTTTTCTGATTAAGATCTCTACCCCACTCCCCCCAAAAAAATTAGTTGCATGACACCCCTGAGACCAGATATAATTTAATTTCAACATACAAGTTATATTCATATCTCATCAGATATTCAACAGTGAGTATAAGATTAAGTATAAACTGACCTTTTCAAAACAACTTCTCACACTAGGTTCAATATTACTTCCTCCAAAAGCTGCTACTTCACCCAACAGCCTAGGAATCTAAAACAAATTGTACACATTCATAAATTATTTTCACACTAGCTTATGAGGCAATACATACAAGATTTAAAAAGACATATTTTATAAAAGTAAGAATAAATCTCCAATTTCTTTTCTGTATCTTACTAATTGTGTTACTTTCTTTCTCTTAAAAATCACTTATTTACAATACCACTTCTAAAATAAAAAATTATACTACTTTCGAACGTTATAATTCTGAGAGGTAATTTATAAATAATTTTGAGTCTTGAAAACAAAATGCTTTTTAAAATTTCCTGAAAATACTGTGATGATACATTTTAGTAAGGAGAGGCTTCAACTGATATAAATTATGTAAATTTTGTTTAGAAACTGTATAAGACAATAAAAAACAAAAACCTTATATCATAGAACATAATGTAGCTACTTCAAAACACAATTACATGAAATACTAACCCAATGTATTCAACGTCAACTTTAGTATTATGAAGAAAATCCAAAACTGCATGAAACAACATCATCATATAATTTCAATAACACAACATACACAAATCCAGTGATGTTCCTGCACATTTATAACTGATATAATCCAGGAGTGAAATTCGATTGATACTAACTGGAATTTAGTACCACTTGTTTTTTAAGTTCCCTGTAGAGTACAACTTCTTTTCACGAAAAATAGGTACTAAGTTCTATTATTTCTACATTTCTTAACAGTTAAATTTAGATAGTTATGAAATGATGTCATTAACTTGCAGCTATAAAACTTGATACTCCATAAGTGTAATACTAGGTCCTGGCCAAAACTGAGTACTTATTTAAGGAAAATTTTACCACTAGTAATATCAGTCCTTCAGAAACGACCTAACATTTATATTAGATATACCTGTACACAGTCATGTAGCAGAAGACCAAGTTTCCGTTCATCAGCACAACCATTTACATCAGCTATCAATCGGAACAAATCTATTTGAAAAAATAATAGTGGTTTTCAGTAAAAATTTAAAAAGAGAAATTCAAATACTGAAATTTTTACCCTCTAGCACACAGCTGATCTGAGGTATTATGTGAAGAATAAAAGAAACAATATTTAGTCTTGTTTTTAATATTAAGGCATTATTTCTAGTTTCTTGTCTTCCTTCTGACTTATAGATAAAAGTTAAGCTGGTTGGTTTTGAACACACACAAAATATGTGTTGGGCAGGCATAACATCTACAGACGACTTCCTCCACTTACTACATGCCACAAATCCACAGGGACTACTCGCCTCCTTGGACGTCG